GATGTGAGAGTTGGACTATAAAGAAAGCTGAGTGCTGAAGAATTGATGCTTTTGAACTGTGGTGTTGGAGAAGACTCTTGAGAGTCCCTTGGACTGCAAGGAGATCCAACCAGTCCATCCTAAAGCAGATAAGTCCTGAATATTCATTGGAAGGACTGATGCTGAAGCTGAAACTCCAATACTTCGGCAACCTGGTGCGAAGAGCTGACTCATTGGAAAAGACCCTGATGTTGGGAAAGATTAAAGGTGGGATGAGAAAGGGATGAGAGAGGATGAGATGGTTGGATGGCATCACCAACTCAAAGGACATGAGTTTGAGTGGATTCTGGGAGTTGATGATGGACAGGATTTTAAAAGCCCTCCAGGTGGTCTTGATGCAGGTTGAAGCTTTAAGATCCACCATGTTATGTCAGAAAATTACACTGAGGCAGAAATGTACCTTATTGATACATTTTGAATACTGGTATTCAAAGGAAACATGCTAATTGTATTTCTTAGTTATTGATCTTTCTGTTTTTGTATTTAGTAGAAGTAATTGGTTCTCTGCAGTTCTGCTGCAGTCCGTGGGGTCGCAAAGAGCAACTGAACTGAAAAGATATGTCCACCTCATAATCTCCAGAACTTCAGATGTTACCTTCAATAGCAAAAGATGTGACTACTCAAGGATATTGAGAAATTTATGCTAGATTATCTGGGTGGGTTCTACCTGCCATCACATGTTTCCTTATAAGAGAAAGGCAGAGGGAGATTAGACTGAGGCACACAGAAGAGGAGATNTGAACTGAAAAGATATGTCCACCTCATAATCTCCAGAACTTCAGATGTTACCTTCAATAGCAAAAGATGTGACTACTCAAGGATATTGAGAAATTTATGCTAGATTATCTGGGTGGGTTCTACCTGCCATCACATGTTTCCTTATAAGAGAAAGGCAGAGGGAGATTAGACTGAGGCACACAGAAGAGGAGATATGAAAACAGAGGCAGAGCTGAGAGTGATGCAACCACAAGTCAAGGACACAAGACATGCCAGCAGCCGTTAAAAACCAAAAAAGACAAGGAACAGATCCCGCCAATTACACCCTCCCCCACCACAGCTTCCAGAGGGTACATGACCTTACTGACACCTTGACATCAGACACTCGACCTGCAGAACTGTGAGAGAATAAATTTCACTGTATCCTTTATTTATATATTCTGTTACATTGCAGATTTTATTTTCAGGAAGTTATTTTTTATATCTAACCAAATTCTCCCTAATTGTTATTGACATAGCCACAGACTTCCGGATCAGGAATGATCTTACCAGCCATGTAGTCCAACTTCCCTCCAGAATTGAAAATCCTGTCTCCACAGAGATATTTATTCATTAAAAAAAATTTTTTTAACCAGTGTTGACTCCCATTCATTGAATCACAGTAGCTTCCACCTAACTCTTCCCTTAGAAGCCACAAGAATCAATTTCTACATGACATTTTTCTAAAGGCTTGGTTATTTCTATCATTTTCTCTGTGTCTACTTTTGTTCTTTGGTCATTCACAGAAATGGTTATGATATATGATTTAGCTACAGAAAATTTGTAAAATTTTAAAGAGGAAAAGCGTAGGTAGACTAATTGAGCCTATTTTATATAGATTTCTATTTTCCCACATTGCCAGAAATGTTTAATTATTTCATCATGGTATAATTCAAATTTTATTGTGAATCCCTTTTAATATAATACCAACTTTATTTTTACCCATTAATGTGAATCCTATCCTTCACAGAACAAACAATACTCTACATGACTGCCCTTCAAATGCATGAAGAGAACTATTATATCAAACATTGACAAAGCATTTTCACTCCATGTTAAATAAACCTAGGCCTTCAGTAGTTCTTCAAGAGACATGATGTTTTGATTCCTCAGTTCTATAGTCATTATTCTGCAGAAGCATTTTGGTTTTACAATATATGTATCTCTCAAAATATGAATCCTAGAACTGAAGTCAGTGANCTGGAACTCTCTTGCTTTTTCAAAGATCCAGTGGATATTGGCAATTTGATCTCTGGTTGCTCTGCCTTTTCTAAAACCAGCTTGAACATCTGCACAACCTGATTAATTAGAAACGCAATTCCCAGCCCCTCCCTCCATACCTCCTACTTTAGAAACTCTGGGAGTGTAGGTGGGTTGACTCCCAGGGATCTTGGATTTGAAAAGCCCTCCAGGTGGTCTTGATGCAGGCTGAAGTTTTAAGATCTACCATGATGTGTCAGAAAATCACACTGAGGCAGAAATATACCTTGTTACTGTAAGGTATTCAAAGGAAACAAGCTAATTGTGTTTCTTAGTTACTGTATTTTCTGTTTTTGGATTTAGTAGAAGAAGTAATTAGAAAAAGAAGCAGTTAAAATTATTACAGTGCAACTATTCATCAATTCAGTTCAGTCACTCAGTTGTGTCCTACTCTTTGTTACCCCATGGACTGCAGCACGCCAGCTATTCATAAAATCAGCCAAAAACCAACTCAAAGTGTGCAAATACTATTCTCAGCACTTTGATGAGCTCTGAAGGCCATGTGGAAGACATATAAATTATAATCTATGCTACCTAAGGGAGCTAAGATAATAAGGTTTTCTTCTTACACATGAGAAGTGCATTGAATAAGTAATGAATATCATGATATATTGTGGTAGTTTTATGATTTATATTCTAATTGCTTTAGGGCTTAAAAGGAGATAGATAACACAGATGGTAAGGGAATAATGAAAAAAAAATTCCAATAAAGAGCGTGTGATTCAGGTCTAAAATGTAGCTACAAATTTATTTGGGAGATGGAATAGGATAAGATACTTCAATTTAGGATGAATGGAAAGTATAGACATGAAAGGAGATCCAGGTAAAACTGTGGAAGAAAAATCATTGTGGAACCCAAATATTGTGTTGATGTGGGAATAGTGTTAAAATTTAAGCTGTTATAATTAACTTTATATCTATAAGGGGAGGGAGCTTTGTATGGCTTTATGGACTTCTGTTCTATCTCCTGTAATTAAGAAAATATTTGTGGTGTGTGTAAGCATATTTGAATGTGTATAAAAATGTTTTGTTTCCTAAGCTTTTATTCTAGACTCACAGAAGTTTAAGACTCTTTACCAAGTACACAAACCAGTGTTATAAAGCCTGAGACTTTAAATATTTTAAGCTTACACTATTTTAGAGGATCATAATGCACCAGTTCTCAGGACTTGTGCAATGACTATAGGTAGACAGTAGGAAAGAAGTGTAGATTTTTGTCAGTGACATTTTATTTGAAGAAGTTTACCATAGTAGTTCTAACAGTAGTCATACTAAAGCAGCTTTGACATATTTCATTTAACTTAAATTATTATTAAATTTATTAAATTGTTAAAATAGCAAACTTCAAGGATTTAACAAGGCCTATCATTTGGATATTTCTTGATTAAGAAAATCCTTGCAATCAGCCTTTTAAATGCTCCCTTTACATCTTTGTTCCTAAGTGTGTATATAAGGGGGTTCAACATGGGTGTGATGATTCCATAGAAAAGGGATACCATCTTTCCCCGGTCCTTGGAGGCAGGGGATGGTGGTTGCAGGTACATATAGATAGCAGTGCCATAAAAAAGTGACACCACTATCAAATGGGAGCCACATGTTCCAAATGCTTTTTGCCGACCTTCCACTGATTGTATTCTCAACACTGCTTGGACAATAAAAGCGTATGATATCAGAATGAGTGTCACAGGTATTAGAAGGAATAGCACACTGATAAAGAATAGTTCGGCTTCATTTGCTGTTGTGTNTTGCTGAAACCGGTAATCCAGGATGCAGCTGCCAACTGGAGGCAGAGCCTTTGGCGCATGATGACTGAGTAACGGAGAGGCCGACAAATAGCTACAAATCTATCAAAGGACATGACGGCCAGCAGAACACATTCGGTGGCCCCCAAAGCCAGAAACATGAACAGCTGGGCCACACAGCCACCATAACTAATTACCTTCCTGGTGCTGTGTAAATTTACCAGCAATTGTGGAACCGTACTTGTGGTGTAGCAAAGATCTAGGAGTGACAGATTGGTAAGAAAGAAATACATGGGAGTCTGGAGTCTGGAGTCCAGGCATGACACTACAATAATGATCAGATTCCCAAAGATAGTCACCATGTAAGAAATGAAGAAGACCACAAAGAGTGGAAACTCCAGCCATGGTCGATCTGAGAAGCCTAAGAAGATGAACTCCAGGGGGATGCTCTCATTTACTGGAGTCATGATCAGTGTTTCAATTCTTGGTTTCCTGAAACATAAAAATTCAGGAGGTCAATGAACAAATACTTATTGACTATTTCAATTGTTTATAATCACTTTCCTACCTGTTTGAAGACATTTACAGAACTGATATTGCTTGTAACATGAAAAATACATAATTATCTAAATATGTCTAAAATTCAGTCTTTCTATCTCTATATCAGCACTTCAAAAAGAAAAGCCAAAATGTTAAAAGAAAATACCTGATTTAAACAGTTCCAATAAAATTTGTTCTTTGATTTTTCTTTTCCTGTCATTTGGTTAATTTTTGTTTGTAATACTTGCCACCTAGATAGCAATTAGGAATTTTCAGTTACAATTCCTGCTATTTTACTTTTTGTTTTTAATTTCTCCTCAGTGCCAAGGAGATTACTCTATCATCTGAAACAAAATTATTTAGACCACTCCCTAAACTATGTTGTAGATTGATTCTAGCAAGCTATCAGACACATTTTGAAGGAACATGCTTTTTGCCTTGTAGGACATCTTAGAATCAAAATAAAATGATAAAGAATTTGGAGCCAGACAAGCCTGGATTCAAGGCTCTTCTGTGTTAAGTCAAGAATTACATCATTCAGGCAATATTTCTTACGTTCTCTGAACTTCAGGTTCCCCATCAATGAAACGAATCTAATAATGTCTTTCTGGTATGATGGTATTAACATGAGAGAAAGAAACTATAGTGATCCAAGACCTCTGAAATGTTCTGAGAGGAAAACTGCTTATTGGTTTCATAACTCTTTTTTTTTTAATTGGAGGCTAATTACTTTACAGTATTGTGGAGGTTTTTGCCATACATTCACATGAATCAGCCATGGGTGTACATGTGTTCCCCATCCTGACCCTCTCTCCCATCTTCCTCCCCATCCCATCCCTCAGGGTCATCCCAGTGCACCAGCCCTGAGCACACTCATGCATGGAACCTGGACTGGTGATCTATTTCACATATGATAATATACATGTTTCAATGGTATTCTCTCAAATCATCCCACCCTTGCCTTCTCCCACAGAGCCCAAAAGTCTGTTCTGTACATCTGTCTCTCTTTTGCTGTCTCACATATAGGGTCATCATTACCATCTTTCTAAATTCCATATATATGCGTTAATATACTGTATTGGTGTCTTTCTTTCTCTTAAGTGTGTTAGGGTTACCAATGGAAAATGACTCTTTGAGTTGAAAAGTTGCCTTCTCAATCCCTCCACAACTCCAAAACCATCAACCTCAACAATAGAGGTAATAGTGATTATCTGATGTAAATTTAAAATGTGATACATTACACTGGGAATGTTTCTTATCCTCTGATCTTCAAGTTCTCACTTGTGAAGATAACACTGCTTTTTTATGTTGTCTTGATGTGAAACATATACACACATCGCTTAGTCTAGACCCTGGCCCTTAGAAACAGAGCAGTGTGGATGAAAGAAGTTAGAGTGTTTCAAGGTCTCTGAGGTTGCTCGGAGAGGAATTACTTATGGTTTATAAAACTATACATTTTCTAAGGTTACCAATGAAAGATGGCTCTGCCAGTTGAAAACTCACCTTCCTTTTTTCTCCTTAGCCCCAAAACTATCAACCCTCAGCGTAAGGATCCTAGTAACCACCTGCTGTGAAGTATAAATGTGATTTTTCAGTGAAAATTGGTTGGCATAGTGCCTGGCACATAGAAACACGGTTATCCAAGTATGATAGTGATGTGGGAACTCTGAGACACTTTGCCCAGTCACTTCAGTCATGTTCAACTCTTCGCAATCCCATGGGCTGTAGCCTGCCAGGCTCCTCTGTTCATGGAATTCTCCGGGCAACAATACAGGAGTGGGTTGCCATGCCCTCCTCCAGGAGATCTTCCCAACCAAGGGATCAAACCCACATGTCCTCTGTCTCCTGCATTGCAGGTAGATTCTTTACCTCTGAGCCACACAGGAAGCCCTCCTGAGATGCTTTAAGCAAAAGCTATTCAGCGCCCTGAATTTCCTAAAACTGCTGATATGTCAGCTCCACCTGCTAAACATGTATTCATCCTTAAGAAATCTTAACAGGACACTCTAAATTACTTTATTATTTTATCAATATCAGAATATAAATTTTTCATGATTATTCAGGTTCATTTGAGTGTTAACTACATGTATTTTAATTTTGTTCTACTTATTCTGGGACTACTGGTACTGCTGCTAAGTCGCTTCAGTCATGTCTGACTCTGTGTGACCCCATAGACAGCAGCCCACCAGACTCCTCTGTCCCTGGGATTCTCCAGGCAAGAATACTGGAGTGGGTTGCCATCTCCTTCTCCACTACTGCTACTGCTGCTAAGTCGCTTCAGTCATGTCTGACTCTGTGCGACCCCATAGACGGCAGCCCACCAGGCTCCCCCGTCCCTGGGATCCTCCCCCGTCCCTGGAGTGGGTTGCCATTTCCTTCTCCATCTCCACTACTAGTCCCCTAAAAATTGCCTTGCTCTCATTTGACAAAAACTTT